GACTATATTCATGTAAACAAGAAAAATTCTTTTCTTATCATGTAGTTTTAACGTTCTTTAAAGGTAATTCTGATGGATTTGAGAGAAATACAAAAGTTGGATTATTTAAATAAACAGGCTAGTGAAGTAAACTGGGTCTTCTCAGTTCTGCGTCTGGATTTGTTGACCTGAAGAGAGAACTCTGAAACAGGCTGGTTGAACAGCACAATCTTTATTTGCTGTCCAGTAGATTACAGTCAAACCAGTTGTGGCCTTCTGTGTCAAATAGAAAACAGAAAAGACCGTGAGGCAGAGGAGAACAGGCCTTTTTATAGGTTAAAATGCAGTCCCAACAGATGCACATACTGGCATTAGTCATGGTATATCTTAAGCATTCCATTCCTAACATGGTAACTTGTGCCGAGCTCTCAGCTAGTGTAAGCCTTGTCCTAAAAGGAAAACAGAACATCAGTGCATTCTGAGAAAAGGCCTCAACTTAAGTCACTTCACCAGCATAAGCTAACATGTTTTACTTTTTGCATTAGTAACATCGATATATTGATTTACTTACAAATTGATTTCTGTTGGTATAAAAACAACAAAAAAAAAAACATTCTGTTATGTTTCGTCACATTTTCAAAGAGCCACTGTAGAGGGACCAAAGAGCCACATGTGGCCCAGACTGCTGGCCTAGGCCCTATAAGCYACTGGTCTTGTCTCTGTCTCGACACACTTTGGTCTTGTTCTTGACTATAACACTAATATAAAGTCTGAATCTTAGATGGGACATTGCTTGTTGGTCTCTCTGTTACAGCTCTGATATTTGACCAATAAAATCGTCATCTTTTCTAACCTTCCTGTGATTGTCAGATGGAGATCGTGTGTGAGCACCAGCAGTTCCGTATCCTGGTGGATGGTCAGCCTCTGTGTGGTTTCACCCACCGGCTGTCCCCGCTCTCCTCTCTCACAGCCTTACGAGTCTTTGGGGACCTGCAGCTCACCAAGGTGGCCTAACCCCAGCATGTCGCACACTGAGGACTGGGAAATCCCTGCGACTATAAAGGAAAACATGTTAGACTAGAACTTCTGTTTAGGTGAAGGAATTGAACCATTGTGGGGATGTTGTGTTTCCATTTTTCAACAAAGTTACAACAGTGTAGCAAAGTGCCTTTGTTGTCTGGAAACTTGAAGATACTGACTGAATGTAACAGTAGTCTTAAATCAGACTGGGAATGTTGGTCAAATTAATGTGAATAAAGATTTAATCAGTAATATTTCTGAGAAAAACACGACTTATTGAGCCACAAAACRTTCTGCTGCATTACAACTGTGATTTTAGACGTCCGTCTTTAATTTCTCTGCAAGACTTTTGAAAGCACTCACATTTTCGAGCGCCTGCAAAAACAAATGTTTTGTAAACTGACAATAACAAATATTTTCATTTTGTGACCAATTAAAAAGTGTAACTGTTGTAATAATGTAAATTAATATCACAAGCAGATAAATCTGTTGGTCCCTTCTGGCTCATTCAAACTATGTTTCATTTCTTGTGATTCAGTAAAAGCAAATATCTACTGTCTGTCTGCATGCTTTACTGTGTGATAAACAACAATATAAAATAATCCATTTGTTGTTKATTTTTACAAATATGGGTTGAAATAGTACAGACAGGTACCTTGGTACCTTCAAAAAACGATTCATCTTTGCATTATTGTCATGTTTGAAATGCTTTGACCTTCATTAGTAGTTCCATCCATCCATCAGCCTGTTTAAAAGGAACAAACAACCTCTGGTTGGCTGGTGGTTGTGTTCAGCTGGTGGTTGTGTTCAGCTGGTGGTTGTGTTCAGCTGGTGGTTGTGTTCAGCTGGTGGTTGTGTTCAGTTGGTGGTTGTGTTCAGCACACTGAACATGAAGCAGAGAAGGTCCAAGGAGCTCAGAGACAAGATTCTACATCCATCCATGTTAAAGACCATGTCCAAGCAGCTGCATCTGACCACAAGATTATAAGTACTGTATTTATTCATGTATAATGTATAATACGACCCCCCCTTTTTTTTTTTTAGCTTAAAAAGCATAAAAAATTAAATTTTCAAACTTCCTCCAGTTTCATACAGACTTGAAGATTTTTCAGCCTTTGCAGTCTTTATACATATCAGTAAAATGATCATTGGACTGTTCATTTTATTTTAACAACATATGTACTAAAAGGTATTTTGACAACAAATATACACTC